ATATTCCAGCAGCGGGCCTCGGCTATAGCGCCCGGTGGCACCCGGCACCTGGCACCCGGCACCCGGCACCCGGCACCCGGCACCTGGCACCTGGCGGCCTTGCCACTTTCCTCTCTCAGTTTAGCATTAAAACGCAGTAAAACGGTACGGCATTATTCTACGATTTTCTGGTAGAAGTGTGTACCCGAGTCCAGTTACAGCGACTGTTGGGGCTGTTACAGAGACTGGTAAGGTTGCCACTTACAGTAAAGCACCACACGCACACGCACACACACACACACACACACACACACACACCAAAGAGCCAGAGCTCAACCCCCACAAACACAACTAGGTGAGTACTACACACACACACACACACACACACACACACACACACACACACACACACACACACACACACACACACACACACACACACACTAAAACACCACACATACACACAGTAAAACACCTCTGTCAGAGAACCAAGAGTTTTCAACCTCTCGCCACTTTTAAGCTAGAAACTTTCTAACTTGTCCTTAGGGAGGAAATACGCTCATGGGAATGGATTGAGAACGACTACATAATTAGTGCTATTATCTACTCTCTATCGAGGGATAGATTAGGTTATGGTTACTATAGGTTAAAGCTTGATTATTTTAGATATGTTAGGTTAGGTTTAATTACGTTTGGTTACGTTAATACGGTGTATTATTGACGATAATATGAAATTCTAAAACTATTTCAGTGTACCCAAGAATTCTGTTAACAGAAAACCAAATTATTCAAAGAAGGCGTTTTCGGTATACTGTCCTTTAATATTTTAAATTCATGATTTATAATACAATAAAGTTATAATTTGAAAATAGTGTCTGTTTAGCACAAAGGTTCACTTCCCAGTTGACATGCACACTATTACTGGAATGATAATAAGCTTCCAGACCATCACAAATATCTAGCGAACTATCTAGGTAGTTTGACGGGGTGGTTCACCACTATCCAGGTGGTTCTCATGATAGTAATGGATTGCGTGTGAGTACGGGCTCAAAAGTTCAGCCAGGTTCGGGGGGAGCCGGTCGGCCGAGCGGACAGCACGCTGGATTTGTGATCCTGTGGTCCTGGGTTCGATCCCAGGCGTCGGCGAGAAACAATGGGCAGAGTTTCTTTCACCCTATGCCCCTGTTACCTAGCAGTGAAATAGGTACCTGGGTGTTAGTCAGCTGTCACGGGCTGCTTCCTGGGGGTGGAGGCCTGGTCGAGGACCGGGCCGCGGGGACACTAAAAAGCCCCGAAATCATCTCAAGATAACCTCAAGGTTGTGATGGGAGTCTTGGGGCCGCCACCCACAACAGCCTTACCGATCAGGTTATCAACTAAAAATAAACTCCCTTGGCTGTTCTACGGGAGTCCACGAACTCTCAAAACCGGCCATAGATAAACTGTGCCATAGACCAAGAGGTGCTCCGTTACCCGTCTCCCTCATGATGGACCCTCATGATGGACTGTCCTCATCTTTTTGGTTTCTCCCGTGCCCCTCATGCCAACCTCTTAACAAGTTACTCCATCCATTCCTCCTTCACTCCCATCCTCCCTCCCTCCCTCATTTCGTCCCTCTCTCCCTCCATTCGTCCCTCCCTCACCTCGTCCCTCCCTCACCTCATCCCTCCCTTCCTCATTTCGTCCATCTCTCCCTCCATTCGTCTCTCTCCCCTCCCTTCGTCCCTCCTTCCCTCCCTCCTTTCGTCCCTCCCTCCTTTCGTCATTCCCTCTCTCCCTCCTTTCGTCCCTCCCTCTCTCCCTCCCTCTCTCCCTTCCTTCGTCCCTCCCTCCCTCCCCCCTCCCTCATTTCGTCCCTCCCTCCCTCTCTCCCTCCATCTCTCTCTCCCTCCCTCCCTCCCTACCTCTCTCCCATTCAAGAAAATCCTCCTAATCTGTGGCTGTAAAAATAAGATAGCGAGCGTAAAATAGGACAGAGGGTAGTGTGTGAATGGTGTAGCCAGATGGAGCAGATAGGCCGCCTGGCACCATCCACCTGCACCCCTTCCTGGGGTGAGGGGGGGGTCTAGCTCATACCGGTGAGGGGGGAGGGAGGAGGGGAAAGGGGTGTGGTATTGGGGAACAGTGAGAGGGGGAAGTAGAAATAGAAGGGCGGGTAGTCTAGTGAGAAAGAGAAACAATGGCAGAAGAAATTCTTGGGAAGAGTAGAGTAGAGTAGAGAGAGAGAGAATGAGAGAGAGAGAGATGGGAAAGAGGAGGGGGGTAAGGAGAAAGGAAAAACAGAATAGGAGATGACTGTAGCTCTCGGCTCCTTGAGGCGATTTACCTCTTCCCCGCTACAATAAGGTAATGGACGAGGAGGGGTGATGTTTCTTTAGGTTTGACGGCATTTAAATCCTTAGGTATATGGTATGATGTTGGGGGATGATGGGGTGTTGGGGGTATGATGTTAAGGGGATGATGGGGTGGTGTTGTGGGTATGATGAGGTGGTGTTGGGGGGTATAAAGTAAGCTCCACGCTGGACCAAGAGCCCACCACTTACGGGCTATTCATGCCCGTGCCACCTCTTGGGTGGCTTAATCTTCATCAATCAATCAATCGGACCAAGAGCGTGAGGAGCGAGAGGCCGAGGGCAGGAATGGGCGGCCCCAGAGGAACAGGTAATAGATGTAAATCCGAGGTCCAAGTCTGTTGACTTATCCCCCCGACCTTTCTCCCATCACCCTTTCACGTTCCTTATCGCCATTTGCCTCTAAAGACTTATAATTCGCATACAATCACCTGGAATGAGCCTGGCCGTCCCTGGCGCCCACCAGATAATCGTCTACCGTCCTCAATCCCGTCTTTCACTACAATAACAGATTATTACCGTTCGCTCTCGGGGTGAATGGAGTGCGTAATTAGGACTCTTGCATATATATATGATTTGTTATAATGCACAACTGCTGTTCACTAAGAATAAATTGCAGTCTTAGTAAACAAGCGACTCGAAGCTCGTAGGATCATTGATGTATCCGGAAAGCCATTAAATTGGAGCAATGTTTCAGAGAGAGAGAGAGAAGAGAGAGAGAGAGAGAGAGAGAGAGAGAGAGAGAGAGAACACTGCAGTGCTCTCTTGCAATTGCAAGAGAGCAGTGTCAGGCTTGGAGACGATAAGGATAGGTGGGGACATGATGACAACATATAAGATTCTAAGGGAAATTGACAAAGTTGGCAAAGCAGCATTCTTGAAAGCTAGGAACATCAGATTGAGGGGGTCATAGATAGAAAGTAGAGGGGGGGGGGAGGGGAAGGGAGTTATGAGGAGAAAGCGCCAAGCCGTTACGACTATACAGCCCTTGGAAGGGATCAGAATAAGGATTTGGGATGACGGGGGGGAAGGAATGATGCCCATCCACATGGATGGTCGGGGATTGAACGCTGACCTGCAGGAAACGAGACCGTCGCTATACTGTCCAGCCCAGGTGGTTGCAAGTTAGTCACAGAGACATGAGGAAGAACTTTTTCAGCGTTAGAGTTATCAATAAATTGAACAAGTTAGACGTAGAAGTCGTTGAAGCTTATACGATTCAAAATGTTAAATGTAAATATGATAAAAGTGAGAAATTTGTCACTGCATTAATCTAAGAACGTTTTGAAGGCGGGGTTAGGAGCATAGCTCGACCCTGCAAGGACATCTAGGTGAGCGCGCGCGCACGCACGCACACACACACACACACACACACACACACACACACACACACACACACACACACACACACACACACACACACACAGTACACACACACACACACACACACACACACACACACACACACACACACACACACACACACACACACACACACACACACACACACACACACACACACACACACACACACACACACACACACACACACACAGTACACACATACACAAACCGCCTTCACCGTTCCCACGTCAATCTTTACACCTGTACTCACATCCTGTGGCCACACACACACACACACACACGAAGGAAAAACACAGCGAGGAGATTAGGTCGCTGTGTTTTTTCGTTGTTTCAGACGAACGGGATTCACTGAGTCAAGCGTGTGTGTGTGTGATGAGGGCAAAGAACCACATGAATGTTAACTTATGTTAATTTATTGAGAAAATAAGTTTTATGTATTAAAACATATATTTTAATTTTTCCGGAGAGAGAGAGAGAGAGAGAGAGAGAGAGAGAGAGAGAGAGAGAGAGAGAGAGAGAGAGAGAGAGAGAGAGGGAGAGAGAGAGAGAGTGCGTGTGTGCATGCGTGTAAGATCCTTGCCTATCTGTGTTTGCGTGGATCGAGTGTGTGCGCACGCAAGCAAACATTTGGTGGAACAGTTAGTTGGCTGTTGCCTGACGGACTTGCATCAGTTATGGAAAATGTGTCAACACGAGAGTGACAGTCTCCTTCACTATACGACCAGGGGTGACAAACTCCACCCACACCAGGGGTGAGAAACTACACCCACACCAGGGGTGACAAACTCCACCCACACCAGGGGTGACAAACTCCACCCACACCAGGGGTGACAAACTACACCCACACCAGGGGTGACAAACTACACCCACACCAGGGGTGACAAACTCCACCCACACCAGGGTGACAAACTACACCCACACCAGGGGTGACAAACTACACCCACACCAGGGGTGACAAACTCCACCCACACCAGGGGTGACAAACTACACCCACACCAGGGGTGACAAACTACACCCCAGGGGTGACACACCAGGGGTGACAAACTACACCCACACCAGGGGTGACAAACTCCACCCACACCAGGGTGACAAACTACACCCACACCAGGGGTGACAAACTACACCCACACCAGGGGTGACAAACTACACCCACACCAGGGGTGACAAACCCAAATTATAATCTTACATCCATAAATGCCACGAAAAACATTTTGCAATATCTTAATATTTTTTTTTACAGATATTCGTCTAAAAATTATCCTCCTTATAATGCTACATTACATTATACATAATATATTTATATATATAATATAATGCTACATTGCCGTATGGCGCTCGAATGAAGGTGAAGGAACGACTTAAGTTTATGTTTAAAGTGTATTAAAACCCAAATTTTTGGATGTGACCTACATGTTTTCTCAAGGTGTTGTATACAATGTTCAGAACAAGATTCGATTGATGATAGACGGAGATCAAGCCACCCAAGAGCTGGCACGGGCACGAGTAGCCCGTAAAACAAGGTTCTAGGAGCCTGAATCCTAAGATCCTAGATCCTAGAATCTGGCAAAGCGGCCTCACTTGGCCTCCATTATTAGAGGTCATTGTGATTATGCTGTCAAGGGATTTCGAAGTTTCGGAAGAATGCTCAAATGTCCTGGCTTCTGAGATCTGTGGGCTGGGGTCTCCGGAATCACTATCCCAACACTTGAGACATCACAAGATCGTCTGGGCTTATATGATTGACTTGTATCGTCCCTCAGAACAACCATTATCCAATGGGAGAAAATGTAGATGTTTATCTCTCAGAATGTTTGGTAATATGTTTATTGTTTGTGATGTGTGTCTATGTATGTATTAACACGATGTACTGAACGGGGTGAGAATAGCTTGAGTTACCTCATCCCTCTGTGTATATTTTACCTCAATAAACTTTTTTCAATTTCAATTTCATTATCCAATCCTTGAAAAGTTGGCCTTGTAACCAATCCTTTAGAAAGTGGCCTTGTAACCAATCCTTTAGAAAGTGGCCTTGTAACCAATCCTTGAGAGGTTGGCCTTGTAACCAATCCTTGAGAAAGTTGCCTTGTAACCAATCCTTTCTTATCGTACTGCTTAGCTTTTACCGTTTTTGTCAAGGGTTATAATCTTTATATACGTTAATAATATCCAATACAATAAACTATGACAACAAAGCACTATTATCACTTTATATAAAAACCCTCACTGCTATGTCATTACCCAAGACTCACTGTTGCACAGCCACAGACGCCACAGAGGCCCTGGTGCTACTGACTCGTCTGGTACTAATCGTGTGTACTGTGTCTGTGTTCTGTGATGCCAATTGCTTTATACAGACAAAAACAAATCTCCCGGTGAAAAAAACTGAGAGATAAACGTACGATAGCGCGCTCGGGGACTTGCAAATATCTGTTCTAATACACATTTGATAAAATCGTCTACAAAAGCATGGAGGATTCTATTAAAACCGTATAGATTTACATCAAACATCTGAAAAACATTTTTTTGACATTTAGATAACTAAAATCATCTAGATCTAGTTTTAAAACAGTCAAATTGGCCCCATTGCTCCAGACCACCTGCGAGGCACGGAAGGTGGCTGTAGTGAGGAAAAACAAGGAAAAAAAGTAAAGTTTGCTGTCAGGTAGAGTCAAGATTTGCAGAGACGAAGTTTGTCGGGACTCAACAGAGCTGGACACGGTAAACACCACCTTAGAAATGTTTCAACCTTCAACGTTTGTATGTGAACAATTTTCCATTTAGATACGAATGGGTTGAGAGTGACTGTCGCTCGACACTCGCTGTTCCTTTGACAGTAATTCAATTCAAATGCCCCCAAGAGTTTACTGTTGCGAACGTGAGGTCAATAACATCGTTACAGTGGCTACAGTGGTCGACGGTATGCACTGAACCGGTTGCTGGTAGATGTCCTGGTAGACTTGCATGTAGAGGCGATCATACCCACCAAAACCCCCACGTTTATGGGCGGAAAAAACTTTACTCAAAGACTCAACTAATAACGTTCGAACTTCTCCCGAACAGTACTTCGTTCACGTCCTCCGCTCGAATCCCTTTTCTGGAATCACTACACCCACGTATTTCAAATGCTAATAATTGCTAATAGCCCTAAACACCTAACATAACCTAATCTAGGCCTAGTTATGCGTCCAATTCTAATAAATAGTAATATTAATTTATATTTGAGAAACTCCAATTTTCAAATACACAGTTCATTAAATGAGGTGAATGAGTCGTTGGGTTCGGCGGCCACTTGAACGATCAGTGTACGAGAAGCGAGTTGAGAAAAACATGTGAGCGAGTTCATTGTGAGTACGAGTAGCGAGTAAAGGGAGTGAGTAGACAGTATTGAAGAAGAATTTGAAGATGATGAAGTGGATGTTATCTCCATTCATACCCGTATGTATTCTGGTTCCTTATTTAAATATGTACGTGATCATTGATGCATTATGTTGACAAGGTAAATGTTGCACACGATCAAGCACAGGAAAGTCGGAGTCATTGCCACAGGCCACTAAGTGCTAGTAATGTTGGGTCCAGGAACTGAGGGTCAGTTCCATTTCACAATACTAGGTTACGGCACACTTAGTCAAAACACCCACCTGCCAAACGTACACATCAAAGCAATCAAACACACACACCCACCTATCCAGTCACCCAGTCACCCAGCCACTCAGCCACCCAGCCACTCAGTCATCCAGTCACCCAACACCCGTGTGTAAACTTTATGACCAAGAACGGGGGTCATGATCTCACACACTTGCATTATTGATTGTCCAGTCATTAGACCCTTCAGACCTGCCGGTATGAGGTACCTGAAGTTTTCTAATTACTTTATCCACTCCCGTGCTCTCGAGGATATCCTCATAATCCACCCAAAGTTTGCCATTGCAGGCTACTGATCACCTGGTACCCCTGTATGACTAATCACCCTGCGAAATGGGTTCTTGTATCACCCACTATGTAACCCTTCGTATAGTCTAGGGTACCTGTATAAATGACTGGGTACCCAAGTGTTTTAATATAAAAAAATGACATGATGGTCGCTTATTTTTTTGTTTGGGTTTGGTGTGTGTGTGGGGGGAAGGGGAAGGCTTCCCCCCACCACCCCACACGAGGGGTGACCCCCAACCCCACGCTACGTTGGGGTTACCCCAGTGAGGGGTGTGGGCATCCCAAGACTCACTTTTAAGATGTGTAAGTTTGAGGGGCGCCTTAATCTTCTTTCTCGTGGTCCTGCGACGACTTCTGAGGTGCTGAGGGGGCCAAGTGTTATAGGGTGAAGGGAATTAGACTTCGGGATGGGAGATGGTGGGGGGGGGGGCGGCTAGCTCGTACGAGAGTAGAGAGAAGTGATGGGTTGGGTAGGACTTCTATCACAAGCTGAAGAACGGACGTAGATCCGAGGTAGAATTAATCAAGCCGTTACGCTAGCACTTACAAACCTCTACATCGTTTCTCGATTTGTGGCGGCTTTGTTTACATATATTACATACTTTACGAGCACTGGAACTTCCAAATCAATTGTTATTGTTGTAATAAACAGCCTCCTGGTGCTTCGGAGCTCATAAACGGTTCAAAATATGTCAACAAAGCCGCTAAAGATCGAGAAAATATTTAGAGGTTCGGAAGTACTTGCGTAACTGCTTGACGACTCTTGGGGCCAGATTCACGAAGCAGTTACGCAAGCACTTACGAACCTGTACATCTTTTTTCAATCTTTGGCGGCTATATTTACAATTATTAAACAGTTAATGAGTTCCTAGGCACCAGGAGGCTGTTTATAACAATAACAACAGTTGATTGGGAAGTTTTCATGCTTGTAAACTGTTTAATAAATGTAACCAAAGCCGTCAAAGATTGAGGAAAGATGTACGCGTACGTAAGTGCTTGCGTAAGTGCTTTCGTGAATCTAGTCCCTGGCCCCTGGGGGCTAGTAACGTTTCTCTGAAACATTTAGCGGAACTTGGAGGTCACATCAGAAACTTACATAGAGCTGGAGTATGGAGCCCCGACCCGTAATCCAACTCCATAACACCGTTATAATTTTACGATAACAGCTTTGTTTCAGTAAGGCGTATGTCATCTTTTTTTTACGTGTTCGGACCAATATGTTTAGTATCATGTTTAGTCCTGAGTAATGTTTAGCCATGGATAGTAATACTTAACTCCCCCCCCCCAAGTAATATGGGATAATAACGGAGCCTAACTTTCAGAGCACTGTCCCCCGGTAACAAATGATCTAGTTCAGTAGCAGTAATGGGCCTGGCTTGTGGAGGCTGCAGTATGTATAGCTGGAGCCAGCTGGAGCCAGCTGGAGCCAGCTGGGGCCAGCTGGAGCCAGATGGAGCCAGATGGAGCCAGTCATACTGTCACTCCTCCCACTCCAGCAACGGAAGAGGCACCACCTGCCTGCCTCTCTCCCTCCCACTCACTCATTCTCTCTCTCTCTCTCTCTCTCTCTCTCTCTCTCTCTCTCTCTCTCTCTCTCTCTCTCTCTCTCTCTCTCTCTCTCTCTCTCTCTCTCTCTCTCTCTCTCTCTCTCTCTCTCTCTCTCTCTCTCTCTCGTTTTCTCCATTTTCCGCACAAAGAAGGTTATTGACTCATTTTTTCCCCGCTCGCGCTTGGCTTCCTGCCGTTATATACACAAAAAGTGGTGGTGACGACATTTGGTTGTGAGGTGTGAGGGGCCAGACGTCATGGGAAACAATGAGGGCCGTGCTGCTGATTGGTCTGTATGGGGGGGGGGGGGAGGCGCTAGAGAGGAGGAATGGGTGTTGTGGTGTTCCTTATGATGTCGGCGGCTGCTGCTCACTAGGATGTAACCCGATATGTGTATCACATACACATTATATATATATATATATATATATATATATATATATATATATATATATATATATATATATATATATATATATATATATATATATATATATATATATATATTGCTAACTATAGGAGTCTCGAACCGGCGATCACACAATTTATTATGGGAATATCTTCTCTGGTGCTAATGTGGGTACCTATAGAATCAGAGCAGGGAAAAAACATTTAGAAAGAATCTTGTTGTTTATCTTCGAATTCGCAACAGTATTTATTCCCCCCCCCCCCTCTCTCTTTTATTAAGTTTATTTACTTAAGAAGAAAAAGGGTTATACACTACATGTCATTTTACATATAAACATGACCCATTATAAATCATAGATCTCCTCAAGCTCCGCAGATGTGGGACTTGTACCCAGAACGCTGTAAGCATTTCCTCGCTGAATTACAGTGCTGAAACAAAAAATTGGTCCCTGTTGGGTTTTTGCTTTCCATAATGAGTTTATCTCCCAACTCTCACAGGTACAAAAGTGTACTTTTTCCTCTCGAGCATAATGTCTCTGTGCTACTGTAATACAGCTGTAGCACACCTTGCTGCACCCCCTTCTTCTTCTTCCCCCTCCCCTTCCCATCAACTCCTTCTCACCCCTTCCCTAACACCGCCTCTCTCTCTCTCTCTCTCTCTCTCTCTCTCTCTCTCTCTCTCTCTCTCTCTCTCTCTCTCTCTCTCTCTCTCTCTCTCTCTCTCTCTCTCTCTCTCTCTCTCTCTCTCTCTCTCTCTCTCTCTCTCTCTCTCTCGTCCATCCCACCACCATCACCACAACCACTACCATCACAACTACTACCATTGCCACAATTAACTCCACTCTTGTGTTACATAAAGATTGACAGCGATCAACCACCGGCCTTGTATTGACTAGTCCCGGAGCTGAGAGGTATGGGTTACAGGGAAAGATTAGGGGGAATTATGTTTCCCGTTAACGGAAGATAGAAGATACAGGGGGGAGACAGGATCCGTCCGGTTACCATATAGAATTTACTCTGGAATTGACAGGAGTAGATAAGGGTAGACCAGGACACAATTGACAGGGTAGATAAGGGTAGACCAGGGACACAATTGACAGGGTAGATAAGGGTAGGCCAAGGCACAGTTGCCAACTAAAGTACTCGATTCACCTACAGGGATACTACAAGATTTGTGTAGGATTTAGAGTAGTGAATACGTATATTTAACTCAATCTACAAATGAAAGTGACAAAGTTCCGTCGTGGACCTTTAAAAAGTATCATCATCGTGTTATTTGTTACAGCTACGTTATTGTGACGTGTTCTGCGCATAGTTAATATATAGATTGTTCCGAAGAGTTTAGTGGTGGAGGAAGACCCCATCAAGCTCAAGGAAATTTACTGAGAAGAGGAAGTACATCTCAAAGAGATAGCGAGCATCTGTATATACATAGTCCTAAGAACTGGCTAATATGTGAGCGTAAACTAGTCTATTTAATGTAAAGAGGCTTGGGCAGTCATCTCCCCGAGGCAGAGCAGGTCGAGTACTCTAACAACGAGGCGGAGTGAGCCAACTAACAAGGGTTCCCGTTACTTGTCCCCCCACCCGGCCGCCCACCCGGCCGCCCACCCGCCACTCACACCAAATGCGTGCTGCTAACGCCACCCACACTAAACACCTGTTGCCATTCTCTTAGAGTCCCACAGCCCACACTGGCAACCCATCTACTGCACTTGTTGTCTGCCCCGCTTACCTACTGCTGCCTAACCTTGCGATTACCTTAAGATGATTCCGAGGCTTAGCGTCCCCGCGGCCCGGTCCTCGACCAGGTCTCCTCGTTGCTGGACTGGTCAACCAGGCTGTTGGACGCGGCTGCTCGCAGCCTGACGTATGAGTCACAGATGCCAATGCTGGTGTTGCCACACCCGTCGTCCTACTTAACCATTCGTGAAGGAAGAAGTGAAGGAAGGAAGTGAAGGAAAGTTCATGAAATCGTCGCACCCTGGGCTTAGGATTCGAGCCTAGAACGTGACGACACTTGGTACACCAGTGTCGTGAGTCGGACGAAGACGCTCAAAATGTGCGCTCATCCCCGACCTTTGCTTCACACAAAAACATTATGATAGGCATCCTTTTGCACTTGCCTCGTGAGGTATCGCTTGTCCGAGTGTTGTGAGAACTATAAACTTGGCCAATATTAGTGAAACTTGGGGTGGAATTTGATAGTTCCTTGGCCGGCCTGTTAGAGGCATTTCAATGTTTTCCGTTCTCGGGGCTAGAAATTTTGTTAGGCTTATCGAGGTCCCCCAAGGCCAGTGGTTCCCAAGCTCTTTACAGTCATTACCCATTTTTTCATAGAGTCCTTACTAATGGTGGTCCGCTCTATCTTGGGCGGGACTGTAGAGCGACGGTCTTCAGGCGTTCAATCCCCGACCGTCCAACTGGTTGGGCACCATTCCTTTGTCCCCCATCCCATCCCAAATCCTTATCCTGATCCCTTCCAAGTATTATATAGTCGACTTGGCTTGGCGCTTTCTCCTGATAACTAACTCCCTCCTCCCTCCCCCCCCCTACACCTCAACTTATGGCCCTACAAATTGCAAAAAAGTCCCCCAAGGGGCCATGGCCTCCTGTTTGGGAACCAGTGCCTTACAAACCAGTTCCTTAGGAACCAGTGCCTTAGGCTAACAACTAGCCTTCTCTAGAATGTATCCAAAAAAGTTGCCGGACTCCCGGGCACCTATTTACTTAAAGGTGAACAGAGGCATCGGGTGAAAGGAAACATGGCTAAACATATCCGTCCTGCTGTTGAATTCAACCTCAGGAACTTTCGGTTATATTATGGTTGGTTCTCGAACCACTATAAAAAAAATTATATTAAAACCAGCTTAATTTCCATTTTTTATTAAATATTTATATAATGGCTGGGCGGGTGGGTGGTGGTGGTTGGGGGGGGGGCATGTCTTCCTTGTTCGTCACAGTGGTTGTCGGAAAATCCGACACCATTTAATATATCATACAGATAATAGCTGTATTGCATAAACAAGTTACCCATAGAAAACGTAACTTGTAGTGGAATTACCGTCTATAGAAAACGGGATATCATCACCACACACTATTATAATTCACCACCTATTATGGTGGGAATTATTCTTAAATACATTAGTCTTTGGACTTTACCATCAGAAAAACATCTTATATAAATTAACTTAATTATCAATATTAAAGTAGAGTAAATGTGACCCTTCTATCACTTTCTGACATGTGGACAATGTAAGCCAGGCGTCAGAGTGGGGAAGGAGGGCAGCCATTGTTTATACGAGACCAGAGGCTCACACGGGAGCAAATTCGGCTCCTGTTAATTTTACTTGGACGTAGTGTTATGGAAACCAAAGGTGTACCATTTTCAACACGCTGTCTACAAATTCAAGTTAAGTGTTCTTTCCGAAACCCATGTATCTTCATTTGTGGCCATTAATGTCATTATATAGGGTGACCCGGTTAGAGCACGTGGAAGCCTCAAACTAAAGGTAATTAAGCCAGGTCTTTATTGTTCCATGTACTGTATAGTGTTTTCTCTGATATACTTGTCATATATAGGATTCTGGCTTCACAGCTAGCGCACTTTTGACAGGTCAAGACGAGGAAGCAAGATTTGTGCACCAGTTACTGGGTGATATGGAAGCTACCTCAAAGAGGATAATTTGGTGTCTACACCCTAGTTATACCTGGTGGACTAACCTGCTGTACTATAAGATAAGGAACCTCTTCAATGTATGTAGTTAATTCTGTAGTTTGATTGGCTGCATATATATTAATTTAATAACCCCCCTTAATGTGTAGAGGATCGATTTGTGAGATTATGAGATTATTGCAGAAATACAGTCCACTTATCATTATACAAATTGCTATCGAAGTATATAAATTAACGTAAATATAAATTCATATAAATGAAACAAATATAAATCTCACAGGTCGGTTCCCACAGTGGTTCCTTCACCCTGCCCCCCCCCCCCGGCCTTTCCTGAAGCAGGAGGCGTCATAACACGAGAGAGAGAGAGGCGGGTGAGAGGCCCTCTCCTCCCTCCCTCGACAGGTTCAAGACGATGTTCAAGGAGGCGACGATGGCGAGGAGCAGCGAGTATGGGGGCAACACCAATGGCGAGGGTGGGGGTGGGGAGCTACGAGAGAAGGGGAGGGGGAGCTACGAGAGAAGGGGGCGGTATAGGGGGGAGAAATGTGTGTGTAAAAGGGAGTGATGGACGAGCAGTAATTGTAGACAGCCATGCCAAGTGAAGGCATTGAGAAGTATACGGGTTGGATCACTCTCCCCCTCCCCCCCCCCCACCCCCTAGCTGGTAGGCCGAAGCAAGAACGATTTTTTTTGTGGGGGGGCCTTAAATTGAAATTTAAGGCTCTACTCAACAGAGAGAGCCTAACCTACTCTTCTAGAGTGATGATAACGCAACCCGTCCTCTTAAAATTAACGTCACTTTTCGCTGGTATGCGCGCCGCTATGGCCAAATTTGGACGTAATTTGAAATAAAATCGACTCACAAAAGTGACGTACTGTTCCGTTTTCTGTTTGAGTCGTCCGGCTTACTCGGCCAGCTTAGAAGAGGAAACTTTCCATTAACGTTTTTCATACCGTTTTGAAACTTTATGAGAATTTCCTGCCCACCGAACCTATCAAAGGACCCTTAACTTACTGTTGTTGAAAAAAAAATCCCAAATTTATTTTCTTTTTCAAATTACGTCCATATTCGGCCATACGGCCAAGAGCGACGTTGTTTTTAACGAAGCATTGTCTATACTCCTGCTCATCACTCAACACGAGGCCTTTTAACTGTGATAGTTGTTGTTCAGTGTTGCGGAGGGAGTTCGGAGGGGAAGGAAAAAATAATAACTCCCTTTCACGTATTTCATTTCGGTACTTGTGTTGCACATGTTGGTTTTGTGTTGCATATTTGATTATAAGTTAGGAGGCGGGTAGGCCGGGGAGGGGGGGGGGGGCGTGTGCAGGGGTCCTTGCTGGTGAGACAAATGTGTGTCATTCCTCACGAGGGGGGGGGGGGCTGCTCCTGCTCCCTGCACCTGCTCCCACGCCACGGCGACTCCTCTTATTGTTTTGTCTTGTGTCTTGCTCCTGCTCCTCCTCCTGCTGCTCCTCCTCCACCTTCCTCCTTCCTCCTCCTTCCTCCTCCTGCTCCCTGGGCCAGGACTGCTCTTGTTGATGCATATTTTTGTTCCTCAGTTGTTTTGTGCGTTGTTGCCTAGTTGCTCCCAGGAGCAGCAGCAGCAGCAGCAGCAGCAGCATTGTTCCGTGTTTTTGTGGTTTAACTTTTGTTGTTGGTTCCGTGTTGTGTAACTAGTTTGCCTCCTGTTATAATATCCTCTAGCTGCTCCACAATGGCGCAACAACTGCGTGGTTTTGTCGTGTTTACATTGTACATGCATTGCCTTGTCATTTACTGGCGCGCGCGCGCTCTCTCTGTCTCTGTCTCTCTCTCTGTCTCTCTCTGTCTCTCTCTCTGTCTCTCTCTGTCTCTCTCTGTCTCTCTCTCTCTCTGTCTCTCTCTCTCTCTCTCTCTCTCTCTCTCTCTCTCTCTCTCTCTCTCTCTCTCTCTCTCTCTCTCTCTCTCTCTCTCTCTCTCTCTCTCTCTCTCTCTCTCTCTCTCTCTCTCTCTCTCTCTCTCTCTCTCCCTCCCTCCCTCCCTCTCTCCCTCCCTCCCTCCCCCCGAGCCTAGAACCCTGCTCCGCCGCTCCGAGCACATCCTGGGACAAGATCTTACTGGAGGAGAGAGTTCAACCTCTAAGGGCACCGTTTTGTACCAGAGAGACGCTTGTGTTGTACCTGGATTGTACCTGCATTGGGGGGTTTCTGGGAGTTCTTCCACTCCCCCTTCCTCCTTCCCGGGCTATACTGTTGGTTAGTGTGTACTGTTGGAGCTCCTTACGGTGCACCAGAAACTAGTAGTGGCTCACACGAGGTGGAAATTAGCAGCAAGGGATGCAGATTATATTCAGGGGGTGGAGGGGGGGGGGGGGCGGGGCGGGAGCGGGGCGGGGGGGGGGGTTGTAGGTACATTATACAGAGGCAAAGTTGGCAGCATTTCCCGGAGTTCATTCCATTTTCATGTATTTTTTGCACTTCTGCTTCTAGTTTTACTTCTGCTGATATGTTTCTTTGTCTTATGTCATTCTCTTTGATTAGTTTCCCCCCTTGTTGTTTTTCTTCAGTTTTCTCCGTGTCATTCTTTTCTGTTTTTCTGTGTAATTTGCCCCTCTTGTATTTCCTCTTTGTAATCAGGTTCTTTGTCGTTGTCCTGTTCTCCAGCTTTATCTATTTGTAATGCAGTTTCTTAATTTCTTCGCTCTCTTCCTTTTCTCTGGTTTCCCATTTTTTCTCTTTTCTCCCCTCGTATTCTTTCCTCTCTCTTTCTCTCTCTCTCTCTCCGTTCCTTCTCTTTCCCCTGTTCCTCCTATTTCTCTCCCTCCCTCTCTCTCTCCTTTTTCCCTGTTCCTCCTATTTCTCTCCCTCTCTCTCTCTCCTCTTTCCCTGTTCCTCCTATTTCTCTCCCTCTCCCTCTCTCTCTTATCTTTCTGTTCATTTCCCAGCAGGCACTCGGCAGCGGCCCAGGCAAGACGGCATGGCACTGGCACTCGCAGGCCAGCGCTGCCAGATGTCATATATTATTCAATACGGACACTTTACTGCTGTGGTCTGCGGCCAGCCAGCCAGTGTTGGTGAGAGGGGAGGTGGTGCTGTGGTGGTGGTGCTGTGGTGGTGGTGTGGTGGTGGTGCTGTGGTGGTGGTGGTGTGTGGTGGTGGTGCTGTGTTGGAGGTGGTGAGAGGTGCGGAGCGGTGGTTGAGAGGGGTAGTGGTGGTGATGTATTGATGGTGGTTGAGAGGGGTGATGGTGGCGAGGTATGTTTGTGATAGTTTGTTGGTTGTAGTGGGTTGGGATCTAACTGCCTTCTGGAGGAACCCCCAGAAAACCCCCAGACTGTTGGCAACAGTGTTCCCAACAGTCTTGCCAACAGTGATGGGACAAGTGAAGTTGTCAATGCTATTCCAAACGTTGTGAAGTATTTTTTAGGCAGATAAATAAAACCCTTCGCAAGAATCACTAAAACTGTAAAGCAGTATTAACATATATAAGAAATTTAACCTTTTAAGAGATTGTTACATTAATAATAACGTAATTCAGTGAGACACTAAATCAACTAAAATAAATTCCACTTAATATTATTCACTTTACACAACGTATTTTTGCTTATTTTTTTTAACAATCCATTTTCAAAGGCCTCGGAGCTGCCTCACTTTTTCTTACCAAATACCACCAAAATTTTACGCATTTGCATATTGAACATTTGTTGTTGGAACATAATTTTTTTTCAATGGTGGGGAGGTGTGGGGGGGGGGGAGTTCCATGGTGGGGAAAAGGGAGGGGAGACGTTCCATGGTGGGGATGGGGGAGGAGACCATGGTGGGGGAGGGTGAGGGAGTTGTATGACCGAGCTTTACATGTGTATTGTGAGGGCGTGGGGGGGGGGGGTCGGGAGACAGTTATCTCACTAATAACACAGGTGAGTGAGTGTGTTGTGAGGTGTGGGTTGTGTATACGTAAGTGTAGGTTGTACGTGGGTTGGTGGTAAGGGGGTTACGTGTGAGTGAGTTGGTGGATGCACTGTGTGTGTGTGTAGGTGAGTGCGGGATGTGGATGGGTGCGTGTGGGTGTGGATAGGGATGTGTCAATGTCACCTTTTCCTCTGCCCGTATTCCCCATGTTGACCCCATCCCCCCTGAAATCTCCCCCCCCCCCCCTCTCATAACCAAGACCACTATGACGGGGGTTAACATTACCCTTCCATGCCTATGTCTATTCCATATTCTCCCGTCCCGTCCACCCTTTTGACCTCCTCCCACCCCCCCCCCCCACCCCGCCAATATACCTCACCCGCAATATGATCAACCCAAGAGATTCTCCATAACACCCCCCCCACCCCTCCCCCTTCTTCCTCACCCCCAAAACACCACTGAATATTCATGTATGGAAATGCTTCTCATACAACCCCCCTACAGTGTCCTTCTTTCCTCCCTTATTCGTTCTCATTTATTCTCGGTTCTCGTTTTCCTGTTGGGATTATTTATGCCTTTTATTCATGTTTGGCTATCTCCTCTTTACTGCTCATTATCTCTCCGTCTTGCCATAAAGCTACGGGAGAAGGCGATAAGAGTTTGATAGTCCGTCGCCTGTTTATCTCCTCTCCCCCCTCTTCAGCTTTTCCTCTAACTCACAGCACACTGGGCAGCGCTCCGGGGTCGTTGTCCTAAGGGGGCCCGGGTTCGATTCCCGGCCGAGGCAGAAACAAATGGGCAGAGTTGCTTACAATTGATGTCCCTGTTCACCTAGCTGTAAATAGGTACCTGGGAGTTAGACAGCTGCTATACAGGCTGCATCCTGGGGGATGTGTGTGTGTACTCACCTATATGTACTCACCTATATGTGCTTGCAGGATCGAGCATTGACTCTTGGATCCCGCCTTTCTAGCTATCGGTTGTTTACAGCAATGACTCCTGTCCCATTTCCCTATCATACCTAGTTTTAAAAGTATGAATAGTATTTGCTTCCACAACCTGTTCCCCAAGTGCATTCCATTTTTCTACTACTCTCACGCTAAAAGAAAACTTCCTAACATCTCTGTGACTCATCTGAGTTTCCAGTTTCCACCCATGTCCCCTCGTTCTGTTATTATTACGTGTGAACATTTGATCTATTTCCACTTTGTCAATTCCCCTGAGTATTTTATATGTCCCTATCATATCTCCTCTCTCCCTTCTTTTCTCTAGTGTCGTAAGGTTCAGTTCCTTCAGCCGCTCTTCATATCCCATCCCTCGTAGCTCTGGGACAAGCCTCGTCGCAAACCTCTGAACCTTCTCCAGTTTCTTTATGTGTTTCTTCAGGTGGGGGCTCCATGATGGCGCGGCATACTCTAAGACGGGTCTCACGTAGGCAGTGTAAAGCGCCCTAAAAGCTTCCTCATTTAGGTTTCTGAATGAAGTTCTAATTTTCGCCAGTGTAGAGTACGCTGCTGTCGTTATCCTATTTATATGTGCCTCAGGAGTTAGATTAGGTGTCACATCCACTCCCAGGTCTCTTTCTCGAATCGTTACAGGTAGGCTGTTCCCCTTCATTGTGTACTGTCCCTTTGGTCTCCTGTCACCTGATCCCATTTCCATAACTTTACATTTACTGGTGTTAAACTCCAGTAGCCATTTCTCTGACCATCTCTGCAGCCTGTTTAAGTCCTCTTGGAGGATCCTACAATCCTCGTCTGTCACAACTCTTCTCATTAATTTTGCGTCATCTGCAAACATCGACATGTATGATTCCACTCCTGTAAACATATCATTTACGTAAATTAGGAAGAGGATTGGTCCCAGCACCGATCCTTGAGGTACTCCACTTGTTACTGTTCGCCAGTCCGACTTTTCGCCCCTTACCATTACCCTCTGGCTCCTTCCTGTTAGGTAGTTCTTCACCCATACTAGGGCCTTTCCGCTTACTCCTGCCTGCCTCTCAAGTTTGTATAGCAGTCTCATGTGCGGTACCGTATCAAAGGCCTTTTGGCAGTCAAGAAATATGCAGTCTGCCCAGCCTTCTCTGTCCTGCCTTATCCTTGTTACTTTATCATAGAATTCTAAAAGGTTTGTTAGGCATGATTTCCCTGTCCAGAACCCATGTTGGTGCTTGTTTACAAACCCAATGCTCTCCAGGTGCTCAACAAGTCTTAGCCTAATTATTCTTTCAAGTATTTTGCAGGGGATGCTTGTCAGTGATACGGGTCTGTAGTTAAGTGCCTCCTCCCTATCCCCCCTTTTGAAAATCGGTACGACATTTGCCTCCTTCCAGCAACTGGGCAATTCTCCCGACATAAGTGACTCATTGAAGATCATTGCCAGAGGCACGCTGAGAGCCTGCGCTGCCTCTTTAAGTATCCACGGTGATACTTTGTCTGGTCCAACAGCTTTATTTGCATCCAGTGTTGTCAACTGTTTCATTACATCCTCTACTGTCACCTCTATATCTGATAGTCTTTCATCTTGGGTAATCTCTTCTAACAATGGGAGCTGCGTGTGTGTGTGTGTGTGTGTGTGTGTGTGTGTGTGTGTGTGTGTACTCACCTAATTGTACTAGTTGATTTTCGGCTCTTTGGTCCCGCCTCTCAACCGTCAATCAACAGGTGTACAGGTTCCTGAGCCTATTGGGCTCTAATCATATCTACATTTGAAACTGTGTCAGCCTCCACCACATCACTGCCTAATGCATTCCACCTGTTAACTACTCTGACACTGAAAAACGTTATCTCTAGGGAAGAGTACCTCGAGTGTGTACTAACACCAGGGAAGAGTACCTCGAGTGTGTACTAACACCAGGGAAGAGAGTACCTCGAGTGTGTACTAACACCAGGGAAGAGCACCTCGAGTGTGTACTAACACCAGGGAAGAGTACCTCGAGTGTGTACTAACACCAGGGAAGAGTACCTCGAGTGTGTACTAACACCAGGGAAGAGTACCTCGAGTGTGTACTAACACCAGGGAAGAGTACCTCGAGTGTGTACTAACACCAGGGAAGAGTACCTCGAGTGTGTACTAACACCAGGGAAGAGTACCTCGAGTGTGTACTAACACCAGGGAAGAGTACCTCGAGTGTGTACTAACGCCACGGAAGAGTACCTCGAGTGTGTACTAACACCAGGGAAGAGTACCTCGAGTGTGTACTAACACCAGGGAAGAGAGTACCTGGAGTGTGTACTAACACCAGGGAAGAGTACCTCGAGTGTGTACTAACACCAGGGAAGAGTACCTCGAGTGTGTACTAACACCACGGAAGAGTACCTCGAGTGTGTACTAACACCAGGGAAGAGTACCTCGAGTGTGTACTAACACCAGGGAAGAGAGTACCTCGAGTGTGTACTAACACGAAGGAAGAGAGTACCTCGAGTGTGTACTAACACCAGGGAAGAGAGTACCTCGAGTGTGTACTAACACCACGGAAGAGTACCTCGAGTGTGTACTAACACGAAGGAAGAGAGTACCTCGAGTGTGTACTAACACGAAGGAAGAGAGTACCTCGAGTGTGTACTAACACCAGGGAAGAGAGTACCTGGAGTAAGGAAGAGTGCATCAGGAGCCAGCTAACTGGAGCAGCCCCTCGCCAGTACCTGGAGCAGCCCCTCGCCAGTACCTGGAGCCTCCCCCTCGCCAGCCCGGGATTTGTTTATGGGGAGTAGTGGTGTAGGGCCTGCCTGGCTATAAGCTAAATTATAATCCCTCGTAATCCCCCCTTTGAAAGTAACGCAAGGTAACTGCAGAGGGGGTATGTACCGTGTGGGGGGGGGGAAGGAATGGGGGTGCAGGTGGACGTAGTAGGGGGGCTAAGGTAGACTATGAGTAGATTAGTAGAGTTTGAACACACTTTGGAAAGTGAGGAGCGTTAGGGAGGGAAGGAAGGATTAGGATATGTTAGGTAGGAAAGTGGGAGAGGAGGGTAGGTAAGGTTGAAGAGGGAAGGTAAGGTAGAAGGAGGAGGTAGTAGGGGAGGGGTAGGAATGGGTTGGAGTTTGAAAGATCAGGAGGCGAAGCAGGATATTGAAAGGAAACGGTTCATGAGATGTTGTAAAGGGGCCGAGGAGGTACGTAGGATGGTAGGCAAGTGGAACCAAGAGACAGGAGGACTGAAACTGGATAGCAGACCTGCCTCTCTAATTTCCGTAGTTTGAGTGTGTTATATGTTTGGTAACTTGATGCCGGGTACTTAGCAGTGTTTCATTCAATAACCTCTCTCTCTCTCGCTCTCTCTCTCTCTCGCTCTCTCTCTCTCTCGCTCTCTCTCTCTCTCGCTCTCTCTCTCTCGCTCTCTCTCTCTCTCTCACACTCACTTACTCTCTCACTCACTCACTCACTCACTCACTCACTCACTCACTCACTCACTCACTCACTCACTCACTCACTCACTCACTCACTCACTCACGCACGCACACAGGTACAGCAGCAGACGACTTCTGAGTCTGATCAGTCTGAGAGCATGTTCTTCCCTAGCTCATGGTAAAGCCTATATATATCCACCAGGCACTCTGTATGCACTAAGGTCCCAAAGAACTTCAACACCCTCTAACTATAAAGGGCAGAATAGAGCCAGTGAAGAGTAGAGGTGTCATAGTGAAGAGTAGAGGTGCCATAGTGAAGAGTAGAGGTGCCATAGTGAAGAGTAGAGGTGCCATAGTGAAGAGTAGAGGTGCCATAGTGAAGAGTAGAGGTGCCATAGTGAAGAGTAGAGGTGCCATAGTGAAGAGTAGAGGTGCCATAGTGAAGAGTAGAGGTGCCATAGTGAAGAGTAGAGGTGCCATAGTGAAGAGTAGAGTTGCCATACTGAAGAGTAGAGGTGCCATAGTGAAGAGTAGAGGTGCCATAGTGAAGAGTAGAGGTGCCATAGTGAAGAGTAGAGGTGCCATAGTGAAGAGTAGAGGTGCCATACTGAAGAGTAGAGGTGCCATAGTGAAGAGTAGAGGTGCCATAGTGAAGAGTAGAGGTGCCATAGTGAAGAGTAGAGGTGCCATAGTGAAGAGTAGAGTTGCCATACTGAAGAGTAGAGGTGCCATAGTGAAGAGTAGAGGTGCCATAGTGAAGAGTAGAGGTGCCATAGTGAAGAGTAGAGGTGCCATAGTGAAGAGTAGAGGTGCCATAGTGAAGAGTAGAGTTGCCATACTGAAGAGTAGAGGTGCCATAGTGAAGAGTAGAGGTGCCATAGTGAAGAGTAGAGTTGCCATACTGAAGAGTAGAGTTGCCATAGTGAAGAGTAGAGGTGCCATAGCACAGAGATACTGCACGATCATCAGCGGTCCACGGGTCTTCAGTATCCTCTCGACAAGCTTAAGAAATATTACCGGAAAAATGGACGTGTTGAAGAAAGAAATGCGTCCTTGCACGAAGTGCCGGACCAGCCAGGCTGTAGTGGATATGTGGGCCTGTGGGCCGCTCCCAGCAACAAACAGCCTGTTGGACCAAGTTACCACAAGTCACACAGATTCCCCGGAAGCAGCTCGTAGCAGCTGTCTAACTCCCGGGTACCTATTTACTGCTAGGTAACAGGGACATCAGGATGAAAGAAATATTTTGCCCATTTGTCTCCGTCTCCACCGGGGATCGAACCCGGAACCTCAGGACTACGAATCCGAAGCGCTGTCTACTCAGCTGTCATGCTTGAGGCTGAGATTTATACGTCCGATTGTAAACAGCCTGGTTGATCCGGCTGACCATGAAGGTGACGTGCCAGATGTAGTAGTGCCACTTACGCCAGTGTCAGCTGTGGCAGTGCCACCAGAGAGCACCGTCCCTCCCACCCCAGAACACCGTCCCTCCCACCCCAGAACCACAGAACACCGTCCCTCCCACCCCAGAACACCGTCCCTCCCGCCCCAGAACCACAGAACACCGTCCCTCCCACCCCAGAACACCGTCCCTCCCGCCCCAGAACACCGTCCCTCCCACCCCAGAACCACAGAACACCGTCCCTCCCACCCCAGAACACCGTCCCTCCCGCCCCAGAACCACAGAACACCGTCCCTCCCACCCCAGAACACCGTCCCTCCCGCCCCAGAACACCGTCCCTCCCACCCCAGAACACCGTCCCTCCCGCCCCAGTACACCGTCCCTCCCGCCCCAGAACACCGTCCCTCCCGCCCCAGAACACCGTCCCTCCCGCCCCAGAACCACAGAACACCGTCCCTCCCACCCCAGAACCAGAACGTACAGGACCAAAAGAGTCATACGAGCTTATGGAGAAACGATTGGGCTTGTGAAGACTTGCATATTATCCTGAGCAAGCTAAGCCTGTGCAGCCTTGAGATCAACATTTCCTGGGAACGTTGCACCTGCAGCGCTTGCAAAGGTTTGCTATAAACAAAACACAAGTCGGTGCTTGGACCGCGGAGGATGTATTTCAAAATCTAAGGTTCACATACTGATGCTTGAGCCAGAGTTCTGGCCTTCGGAATTAGCGTGTCCTTGAGAGAGACGCTAGTTGTTGTGGTGCTCACATATCCACTACAGCCTGGTTGGTCCGGCACTTCTTGCAAGAACTTTATCTAAATGCTTCTTGAATACATCCACCTTTGTACCGGCAATATTTGTAATGCTTGGTGGGAGGTTGTTGAACAGCTGTGGACCGCTGATGTTCAGAAAGTGTTCTCACTTATTCTATTCTGCATTTCCTTCCGTATCTTTCGCTCCAGAATGTTCTTAATCTACAGATCAAATTTGGGACCTGGCTTTCAAGTATCTTCTATGTATATATTATTTTATATCTTTCTCGTCTCCTTTCCAGAGAGTACATTTTGAGCAACCCGTCCTCAAACCAAGTCCATTCTATCCAGCGGTCGACCCTAAAGACGCCTTCGTCAATTTTAACATTCTGTTCATTCCAAATAGGAATTTTCTCAGATGTAAAAAAAATATTGTTATATATTAGCATTCTGTGCATATTAAGGCACTGGTTAGGTTAGGTGTTTAGGTTCTGTTGACGATTATTTGTATTTGTAGTACGTGAGTGAAGCATTTGCAGCGTTGTGGTTCGAACAAAAGTCGTCAGTGAAGCACTTGTTCCGGAAGTGTTCGGATGTCATTAGTTGCGAGTCGCGTGTAAACCGTTTTGATTCATAAACAGGGGGTTTGGCGGGTGCATGGAATGGACTTTAGCCTTTGTTCATGAGGACGTGTTGATTTTGAGAGCTTTGAGACGGTCCCAATAATTTAGATGTTTTATCGTTTCTATGCATGCCGTATTTGTTCTCTGTATTCCATCTAATTGAGAGATCTCTCCTGCTCTGACAGGGGAAGTAAGTACCGAGCAATACAAGTTTCAAAGATCCCTAGGCTATAAAGTCCTTGACCCCTCGAGATTCGAACCTGGGCAACCAGGGATCACCCCACTGTTTACCAGTAATAATACCACTCTACCATCGATTGTGTATAGGTGATAGACGGTCATGAAAAAACACATGCTAATTTTAATTTTACCCCGAGGGGCAAGTATATTGGGCAGCGCCACTCACCCTGCGAGTGGAAACCATCCACGTGCTTCCACATGGGTTCCTTGACCATCCATCACCCGGCAACATTCGTGGTGCATATTGGGCACAGTTTGTCATCAGGTCGTTAAAAGCTGTTGGTAAAAGTTGGCAGTATCCATAAAAATATACGTCGCATGACCAGGTGACAAAATATACATATGTATAAGGGGTAAAAACAATGCAGCTTTCATTATAATGCTCGCACGTTTGCACTTGCATCCACTCGACTCGAGTAGAGGGTTGAACACTCCTGCAGGTGTGTACCAGCTGCTGTTGTGTTCACACTTGCAGGTTTGTACCAGCTGCTGTTGTGTTCACACTTGCAGGTGTGTACCAGCTGCTGTTGTGTT